TCAACATCCAGGCAAATACTTTTCGCTATTTGTGGAGTTCTAAATATTTGCGTAATCTGCACAGATTAATGCAGCTGAGCTCATTTCATCTACAGATGGTTAATAACGATTAGAAACAGGAGTGGACCTAAGGTCGTTACTTGTGAAACTCCTGACGCTGAGACTTACCTCGGTACGGAACATACTATTCTCTAGGTAGTTTCGGAGCCAGGACAGAAATGAGTAAGTGAGGCTCACCTTTACAATCATTTATATAAAAAGCAGACGAGGTAATGCATCAAACACTTTTGTGAAATCGATGAAAATTACGTAAATCGGTACCTTACGGTCCGATTAGGTCGTCTAGCTTAGATTCATGTGACCTGTTTTTTAACCTGTGTTGATCTTCGTGCAGGGTGTTGTTTCTATTCATGTATTTGCTCATTTCTTCATTCATCAGTAGTTTCATTGCCACCCAATATATTGGGAGTAACACGACTGATCAATAACAGGCTGGATTTTCTCTATCTCCCATTTCGAAGATTGGAGTGACAGCGGTCTGCTGCCGTTCTCTGGGGACTTGTTGCAAATCTAGTGAGCTCTTGAACAGGTCAGACACCGGTATACTGATGGTTTCTGCTCATTGTTTCGGGATTGTAGGTTGCATGTTGTTACATCCTGGCGACTTTCCTAAGGGAAAGGATTTTAGTCTCTATAGTATAAACTTTCCATTTAGTTCGGTATCTCCCAGACCCAGTTGAGTTGAGGGGCTTTCTGTAGTATCAGGCTCCTGTCTAAGTTGGCCTACAAAAGTTACATTAAAGATCTCTGCCACCTCTAAGTTGGTGAGATATTTGCCACTGGGCCACTTAAGATATCAAATTCCTAGGTTTGTGGGATTTCTCCTGACCATGAATCTATATCGATGTTCTGCGTTAGCTTGCATTTTGGCTGCTAGCTTGACTTTGAACTTTACTATTGCATCCGTCTCGCAACACCGAGTAAGTGCGACAATCAGATTGTCAAGGAGACCTTCCACTTGTTCTAGGACCTCTGTTTGAACCGTAGCAAGCGTTCCAATCCTCACTTAACCCAGAATCTTCGCTTCCCCAGTATGTGCTTACCCCAAGATACATTATGTTGAATAGCATTTTCAATGACATTCCTCAATAACTCCGAGCGGTACCTCATTGTTAGCCTCCAACACTCTCGTAGCCATGGGACATTTTGAGGATACTCACTCATAGCTCAATAGTCTGCTCTGGTTTTTCCAAGATAAAAAGCATTTTCATCTTGCCAATTAATTGTTTGTGATCACGTCGAACATGAATGTAGCCTGGCCACTACTTCCTATTAAAAAGTGGTGATGGACATTCTCAACTAGAAGCTGATCATTTGCCGGTAAGTTTTGAATTCTGTGGCTGATGGTATTTAGTCTAGACGCAGGTGCGGTGACTTTGGTATATTATCTCTTATCCCACCCTTTTATGTTTTAGAAACTTTACGGGGTCGGTATATTCCTCTATTCAAGAACTTCGTAGCGTTCACACTTTAGCAACGCCACGATGGGTCTGTCAACTCGGCCGACTGAGTACTATGTGGTGTTACGGCATTGAAGTGGCAGTTAATGTCACCCCAGCTCTTATTTTGTGCACCCTGGAGTATCGAAAAAGTGCTATGTCCAAAAGCTTACTTCTTCATCTATGATGTTTAGCGATAAGCATGTTTCCGCCAGGACCGTGACCCTCAAATATAACTGAAAACACATGCTCCTGACTTCTCCTAGTTTACCTCTTGATCCATTAGTCTGTCTTCTCAGCGTTTTGGGAAGACGTGCTGTGACGTAACACAAACCCGTTGTATGGTTTACGTACTATAAATCACAGAGACAGTGAACCCAGACGTTATAGCAATCACATGCAAATATCGAGTCACTGGTTTTAACGAGAAACGATCATGCGGTACAGTTATCGTTATTGCGTTGTCTCACCTCATTAACAATTGTCAACACGGGCTTGTGATACATTTTCTACTTTGCTTTTAGTCTTACTAGGAGTAGGAAGCTGCGTAAGTGTGTGACCCGGATTACTTTGTAGAAAATCCAGTTTCAAGTTTTGAGTTGAGTGATCCACTTTGTCTACGTTACAAGGATCTTCGTTTTCCGGTGTCACATTGAGCCTTCATGTGATCCTGTTGCTTGAAACGGAGATATTTGGTTTATTCATGACCTCTGAAAAAGGACCTCTACATCTTCTAGCCGTTATTTTATTCATAGCATAAGTATTGGTGACAGGGCTATCACTGTCCATACTATTTAACAGATCAAAAGAGTAAAATGTAAAGCCATTTAAGGAGGAAGCACGCAAAACAAAATTCCGAATGAGAAAAACGGTAGAGATAAGTGAACATATGCTACACAAAACTAGTAAATGAGAGGCTTTAAATTGCAACGTTACCTTAGGCTATCCAAACCAGTAAATTCACTTCGTTCCAGTATATTTCAGTAGAAGCAACTATGAGGAAAACTTAGTAAACGATGGCCAAGATAAATGCTGTTGAAAGTATTTAAGTCTATCAACTATTTCACGAAACCACTAGGTGTATTGCAGCAAAACAGGTAAACATCTCCTACTAGATTAATTTAACAAGCTGATGCACTTCGGTCGCGTTACGTTGGAAAGCAACAGCAGTTAACTGGTTTGTCAAGGATCTCTGGCAAGATGTTGAACACCGAATATATTAGTTCCATTTTCCCAGCCAGATGTGATATACATTCCATGGAAGAACGTTTCCTGAAAAAATATCTTGGTTGAATAACTTTCCATAGAAGTTGTTACAAGCGAATCAAATTATTGTATTTGTTATCAATAAATGAAGATTTGATTTTGAGCGAAAAAGCCTGAATTATTCCTCACGTATGAGTTTTCCGTTGCTATGTAAAAATAAGGGCCGATGATTCTTCTCCCATCTTGATTAAAATAAGTACGTTATTTAAAATGCTCTATACGATTTATCAACTGAGCTGTAAATTGTTTATGTTTGTGTTTTGTATTACATATCTTCAGCTGAGCTACATGAAATATTCGGGACTACTGTCGTGTCCTGACGGCCGAATAAAGTAATCCACAGATAAATCGTGTGTTACTCAAAGGCAGTTCAAGCGATTTGATACCCTTTTTCATGAAACTAACATGTTCAACAAAATAATACATCAATGAAGCCATTCGAACCTCATAGCCTAGGTATATTCACTAATATATGCACTGCTAATTCATAGTTTAAAATAATCGAGAAAATAATTAGAATTGTAAAATTTTATTTAAAATTAAATTATACAGTATGATTAAATGTTTCTCTTCCTTCCATTAGACATTTGAACATCAGCTCATACTTCTTTTTCCCAGAGGGTGTTAGGACTTTGAAAGAAAATGTTGTTATCTACTGTGACATTATCTGGTACGGATTCTCGGCCAATCGTCTACAGAGAAAGGATTTGTAAAGTAGTATTTAAAAAGTTAGCGTTACTCTCAGAGGCTTACAAAATTTTTAAAAACCACAACACTTGCTTCTCAATTTACCGGCAACGTGACTCATGAATAAGGCATTTTCAAAATATGGATTGGTTAATTTCTTGCAGGTAACAATTTCTGATAGATTTATATTTTGAGGTAAAATCTCATGAACTTTCAAACCGAATTAGGAATTCTAACATCTTGTTTTCAACCATATTTATCTGAAAGTATTTCATCTCTCATCGTCATTCGTATAACCATTCAAATTAATTTCTCATCATTTATCTAGTCATCTTCCTTGCTCCTCAACGTTTAACCAGAAATATGGGTGACTTTTGCTGAATACTACATAGCTAAGACAAGCTATAGCTAACCATCATCGTGTTCCGGATACCGTGCTAAAACCCATTAGTAGCTAAACTTATTCTGACTGTTTAGAACAAAGTAGTCAATATAATCTATTTCTACCATCACATAACAAAATAAGTGTATTTCTTATAACGTAGTTACAAGTGCAATCGCATTTACTAACATTAGAATTCAAAAAAATACGCGAGATATACTTTAATTGGTTATACTATGTGGCTATAGTTTCGACTACTAGATTGTATCTACCTGAGGGATGCGTTATTGTTGTTTATTGTCGTATACTTCCCTTATAAAAAATATAAGTGAGTTGTGTACACTCTTTGGATCATTTATTCACCACTTCTCTAGTTCGTCTCCTTTCCGACCCTACTTATGCTAAAACGCATACTTTCCTAGTACACTAAAGCATTTTTATTAGAATCAATCCTCCACAATATATTCTGATGTAAAAATGTCCTATCTGAACATTATTATTACTATTCCTTGGGTAACCGTCGAGGAACTTCACACCAAACAGTTAACAGACAATTGAAGTCACGTCTTTTATTATCACTAATCAGGCATACATTTTACTCAACTGCAGAATGTGTAGACTTATCTCTTTTGGTGAGGAGCTTTTCGAGGAGTATAGGATTTCATGTGCACACCTGTGGCTCAGAGTCTTCCTCAGGAAAATAAGTAAAATATGTTCGTTCATAGCAAAAGACACATGGCATTAAATGAGCATCAGAAGAACAGTCCTGTACATTCTCGACGTTGATGCTAACCTCATTAGCTGTATAAAGCAAACCTCAAGCATCTACATCAGATCCCAACCGAATGCACTGTGGCAAACCTGATCAGGTAAGATCACTTTATTCTCAGCAAATTAACCATCTTCCGAACTTATCTTCGAAACTCTTCATTACCGGCTCCTGGTTTGACCAGCTATTTGCACTTTCAATTTAGAGGTGTTACACCTAAATTTGCCACAAGTATTCGGGCTTGACAACACCGTCACAAGCAACACCTTTGTAATCGAAATATGCCGACCCAGTCAAATCACAAATCAGAAAACGAAGAGGTCCGACGACATATTACATGAATTTTGACCTCACATACTTCCTTTCGATTCTGATGGAAGATATGGAAGATCTTAAGCTGTACTCCAAAACGGATGATTTGATTCAGAAAACAGAATGGTCTACACTCGCTGGTCACAAATAGCTAAATATTGGAAATTGAGACCTTTTGCGGCTCACAGTTCATTTTTAACGCTACTGTGTATAAAGCTTCTCATCCAGGTTAGCATTGATGGGTTACTTAACAAATTAATTTTGTAATCTATAGTTTTCTTACGTTATTAATCAATACCAAATTGTTGCACATATGCTGGAGATAGTGATGTAGATTTGTACTATGAATATGACATTAGAGGCTTTTGTTATCTCTTTTAAGAGTTTTAAACCTATCTGAAGGATAAGGATTATGATTTACATTTGATTTTTATGGTCGGAAGTTAGATTTTGGGTTTTCGTCACGAACTAACACCAGCTAAAGTGCCAGGACGTTATTTAGTCACATGAATAAGGAATTTCGCACCGAAATCCAAGACCTGTTATCGTAAATCTGATTAGTTCGTCCATAAGTTGTGCTCTCGACGTTTTCTCAGATATTTATGTGAGTGTGGCTTTCTAATCCACTCATTGTGGTTTATACAAAGCATCTAATATTGCAAGAGTATTAGACCTATGTACTCTCTCCAAGTGCGTGTATGTAATGCGTACATATTTCTCTTATTTTATCCCTCTAAGGCTGCGTGAAGCGTGGGGAATGTGTTACTGCTTTACTTTCCTAATGTCCATCTTAATCACCATGCTGTTCAAAACCGAATTGTAGAACCTTCTGATGATCCCCAACAAAAAACCCACTAGCTTCGATAATTAAGGTTAAAATCCTGTGATGCATTCTTGTTGTTTCTGGATTTTCAGATTGTGAAAGTAAATATACTCGTGGAGTTCTTTCTTATCAAATGTATCAGGATTACCAGCGAATTTTCAGTTTTCTTGTCTAGTCTCAGTAAGCGTTAAACTTCGTATGTTTCTTGAACGATCCAACGTATGAACATTTGTGTTACTTAGTTATATATCTTTTGAAAACTTCTATACGTCACTCCAATCGATGCTCTCTGGTTTTCTAGTCTTCTGAAGAGTTTAAGTTGATCACCGTCATGTCAACATTAGTACGCAAAAACTAAACCAGATGCTACATCTAATTCTAGAAAGTAGCACTGTAAAACCGTTTATCGATTGAGATTTTCACCTTCGACATATTTCAAATATCGTGGTAAGCTTATAATAGGTTATCGCTTTACGAAAGTTTAGTTTGTTCTCGAAGTATCATTTCAAAATGTGTTCGTTATCATTACTGAGAGGGTGGTGTAAACCTCCAAATGCAACAACTGACTGAGACAAACTCCATATCATTCATGATAAGCTAAAACCTTCAAACTTTTAAATTGAAGTGAAACATTTAAGTTTAGAGTCACTGTCGATCCTACATGGGTTATTCTAGCTTCCGGACAGAATAATTTATCCATTCTTCTACAGTCACATTTTGACCTTGTTAATTATTCGCTTACCAACCGTATCTGTTCCTATGTGAGCGTTTGTGTGCGTAATGCTTATCCTACTTATCACATATCTGTAATTTATTTTTGATCTGGCTATAAGTATTGAGTTACTCTTAGTAAAATGGAGTCGGCTCACACGCCTTCTCTTATCCATTTCGCTCCGCTCTATCCACTTCCTTCGCTGTGTTTTCCTGACTGTCTGTTCGGGTAAACGATTACATGAAATATACGTATTCAAAACCTATTGTTGTGTTTGACTTATTTTAATCCCATTATTCACTAACGCCACTTAAGTCAATGATTATATACGAGAGTAGCCAAGATGTATGTTTCTATAGCAATCAACAAACGATCCAACTGGAGTCAAATACTGGGCCACATTAAAATTTTAGTGACATATTTTTCCTCCAATTCTTGAAAAATTTGCTTTCATTCACTTAATTCAAGTCCCTTCAGTGTGTTACTCAACTTGGTAAAGCCTTTCCATTAAACTTCTGCGATTTAATAAAACATGTCAGATTTAGAGTCTTCTGGCATGCCAGTCTAAGACAACTACTTCAAGTTCTCGACATTACCTGTCTAAAAGTGCGGATTTCAATACATCTAGTAATTGATATAGAATAAAACCAGTATTCAAATTGATTTTGCACTCAATACTAACAATAAACATCACAGTGCGTGTGAAAATTCGCGGGTGTTTACAACTGTGTCCCAACTATTTTACCATTACTTGATATCTTTGTACCATTTAGTAATTCAGTAGATTGTTTTATAAGTTTTAATCACTAAAAAACTGCTTATCTTCATTAATAGCTTGATTCTGCAAAATGGAGGTTAGTTTTTATGAAAAAAGACAATAAGTTGAAAATTTAGGTGGTTCAGCGCCACTCTGTACACACACTTGTTTTCCGCTCTCTCAAAAGAACACATGATATGTTTGAAGCTGATCAAAGTCGTCTTCCGGAAGTTGATGAGAAAAGGTAAATAACTAATATTGTTTACTATTTTGCTCAGTAATTCATTAAAAGTCGCCATCAAAGCAAAAGATCAGTATGGACCTGTACTTAAGGAGCCTGGTCACAATCCACTAAGGCCTAAAGAAAGTAAGTGAATTTCTGTCCTATCTATTTTAGATGTCTCTGACACGTCACAACCGGGAGCTATTGTCGCATCTGAAAAGGTCAAACCAAAGTTAGTCAGAAGTTTATGCGATAAATATTTTTGAAGGTCTGCACTTGAACAAAACGCTTCTATAGTTCAAATAGGTAATGAAAAATTACTACTTCCAAAGAAAGCTCCGACTATGCCCAAGCCCACATGGCATCCACCATGGAAACTATGTCGAGTAATCTAGTACTGCCTACTATATCCAAAAACTTTTAGGTTGTTAGCGGTCACACAGGATGGGTGCGCTGTGTGGCTTTTGATCCTACTAATGATTTCTTTGTTACTGGCGCGGCAGATCGGATGATCAAGGTATAAAGTTCATCTAGTTCGCTTTTATTTATTTATCTAGGTTTGGGACTTTGCTAGTGGGACATTAAAACTGACACTGACAGGTCACATAAGTACTGTTAGAGGTGTCGTTGTCAGTGCTCGTCATCCTTACTTATTTTCATGTGGAGAAGATAAAACAGTTCGTTGTTGGGATTTGGAGCAAAATAAGGTACCCATGAGTTTTTAATATATACTTACATATAAAGGTTATTCGTCATTACCATGGTCATATGTCTGCTGTTTACGATATTGATATCCATCCAACAATCGATGTAGTCCTTACTTGTGGTCGGGATGCAACTGCACGAGTATGGGACATGCGAACCAAAGTAAGTTGATAAACTGTAAGGAGTTTGATCTTTCCTTCAAATTAACACTGTTGTTTGTTGTCTGAATACAGATTTAACTTTAGGATCGATTTTTATATGATAATTCTCTCTTTTTGTTCTAGCAAGATTTTACTAGCCACCAATGTGTCAGGGCAAGTAGGACTTCTAAAATAAGCGAAGTAATCAACATAATAATTGCTTCATTCTTTATGATCAAATGAATCACTGATAATGATTAAGCAATTGGTTTTTTGAATAAAGTACCGATAAAACTAACTCCATGACGGTTTTTAAAAGATGTCTCATATAAACTTTAAGGACTAAATTCCTCTGGCTAAAACTGTTCGATTCTCAAACTCTAACGAATACCGTAGTCGTTTTAATTAATGTCGTAATTAACCCCCTTGAAAATATGCAGAGCTAACCTATGTAGGCTTACTTCTTTTTCCCACCAAGTACTTTTTAGCCTCTTCAGATGGGTGGAAGCTGGGATCAGTCAACCATTCGAAAATTACAGCAGATCATCCGAACCGTAAAATAGCTGAAGAATGGTTTATTCCTTAAATTCCTTCGCTTTCTGCTTTAATCACCTGGTGTGAGAGTAAATTAGTCGTTTTTTATAGCAGTTCTGCCAATAATTTGTTTGATTATTCGTAAAAATTTTCCGGATGCAGGGTATTAGGGAATGATGGTAAATCAGTTAATGAGGTTGTCAATCTTTATCGACTGAGATGGTTGGGCCACATGTTACGTATGCCTCAACACCGATTACCACGACGCGCAATGTTGACTAGTGTTGAGAATGGTTGGAAGAAAGTTAGAGGAGGCCAAACCAAAATGTGGCATCAGTGCTTGAAGTCATTAACTTCTAGCCTTAGCCATGTTGGTAGAGTCAGACAACTTGGTTGGGGTCCGCGTGACAATCGTAACCAATCGTTGGAGACTGGGTGGCATGGCTCAGAATCGACCACAATGGTGTAGGTGTATACACTCCTTGTCTTCCCTTAAACTATGAGATTCAAATTATTTTATATCTTTCTTTCTACGAACTAATTCTTTTTTTCTGTACCATATCCTTACATGAAATCATTCCTTTATATTTTACACTATTGAGTTAACTGCTTCTATTAATCCGGAGTTCGTCTTGCTGTGCTAATGAGGTGTGGCAACTTGGACCGATGCATGTATGTGCCTGGTCCTACTTTGTAACTGACTGATTGACTGAAAAACTTTCCACTGCTCTTTATCACCATTGTTTTACTCATCTTCGTATAGTCTAGTTGACTGGCACCCACGGACATGGTGTACACTTTTTCCATTGTGGTTGTAAGTTCCTTTTGTATATTTAAATCCACAAGGGTGAGTTTCAAAGCACACATTAATAGAGCAGAATCTCTAGATATACTTTTGCAGTCCCTAACGTTTTGTTTTGTGTGGTGATCAGACTCTACCTTAGTCTTTACGAAAACCTGTAAATCGTACCTGGCAATCTTTGGACGAAAATCTTCGCGTCTCACCAAATGCTTAGATAAGTTCTTGTGTGCATTCTTATCTCTGAGCTAAAAAAAACTATTGCATTAGTCCCTGTTTACACAAACACGTAATTGAATTCAAGAAAATTAGGAGTCCGGACATATGCTGTGAAAGTAATGAGTCATCAGTTTTTCCCAATACCAGTTATTCGGCACAAACAGAGACTCCAAAAATATAACATCTTTTATTCCTCTTTCCTAGTTCATGTCCTTCTGATTAATTCTGCAGAGCACAAACAAATGTGTACTGTTCTATTCTTGGAATGTAATGCTCTACCTACAAGTACAATATCACTAGACATTACTATCGAGGACCTAGGTAATGTAAGAGGGAACTGTGCTGGTTCTTACATTGGCTGAATGTAGTCACATGAATAATCAGACTTGGGTCCTATGTCAGCTCATTTTAAAGACAAGACATACACACGATTTTATAGTTTAGAGGCATTTCTGCTACATCCGCTAAAACACTTGAAGTTTAACAAGTAGTTTGGAGTGTAATTTTGAAAGCACTTAGTGACTGCGGTCTCATGGTCAAAGAGGAAGGTTGGTAACTGTAGTACAAGATAATCTAAGGAATAGAAGAAGGGTTTGTTAGTGAACGTCAGTTGTTGGTGGTAAGCACTAATTTCTCTAACATGCGGTAGGAAAAAACTCGATGGTGTGTACATTGAAAAATGATTGCGGAGTTCAGGAAACAACTGGTGAAGTTGATCACACACAGCCTTTTTGTAACTTCCAAGGTTACGTAGTATTAGCTCTGTCTTTTATAATTTCATCGCTAGAACACAAAGTCTTTGTAAAAGGACAATGTTCTGTCGAAAAACCACCCCCTAGTTTGTACGCACTAGGTAATTATGTTATCTTTGGGAAACTTCACTCTATAGTTTTCGTTTTGGTAATGCATACGTCTGTAATCCTTTTCTTTACGCAACGGGTTATAAATGCTGTGGAAAGTCGCTACAATTAGTTTTGTAATGGAAGTTAACCAGCTGAAAAGATATTCTTCTTATCAATCGACTTGAGATTATATCTTACTACTAATTGATTTTAAATAGTTTCACACTTGAAAAATAATTTCCTTTGTGTAATAAGTCGTTAACCGTTAACTTCTATTTCAGGTCAATGTTCATACTCTAACAGGACATTCGAACACGGTAGCGACAGTACGTTGTCAAGAATCTGATCCTCAAGTGATTACTGGATCACATGATGCAACTGTCCGCCTTTGGGACTTGGCAGCAGGACGTACCATAGCCTGTTTGACAAATCACAAGAAATCTGTCCGAGCTGTATGTATCCATCCAACTCAGTAAGTTCCCTAGAAGTTTGAACGCAGATTTAGTGTTGTCACTGATATAACATGAGACTAAAGACAGGGTCGAATTAAAATTGTTTGCTATAGTTTTCTTATATTACAACGTATGGGAGTTACTCGTTTTTGAAACTGCTAAGATTATTTCATTTTTGTAATCCTGTTGGCTCCCCGTGCTAGTGTTCTACATTTTGGCTGTGCTTCATGGCTATTTAACCATGATTCGTGACTCGTACTTTTTTTACTTGAGATGTCACTAATATGTTCATGCATCGCAATAGCCTGGTATGCTTATCCTCACCAATTAACTCGAGTTATCCACTGAGTTTTATTTATTATTTATTTTAAAACATATATATTGGTACAAGGAGGCAACAAATACATATGCGCCATACCGATCTCATTTGATATGTGTGAGGGCTGCAATACTGCCCGGGTGCCCAAACCGAAGCAGGTGATTTTCTTAGGGGGCCACACCCGGAACCTTCGACCTGAAGGTCTGGTCCACAAGGCAGTGGAGCAAAGTAAGGAGATACGTTCCCATGGTAGCCGGTGATCAACGACTGATTCATACGCCATTTATTCCTTTAGGATACTGGAGCCCATGTGCACCATTGGTTTGAAATCAGGGTTTCCCAACTCCCCTAGGTGGTCTCTCCATATCCACCAACCCGGTTGAAGCGCTGAACGTTCGCTTCCCGTCCTCTCAATTTTGTAAACAACACCCCCGCCACGAGAAGGCAGTGAGTAGGATTTCCCTGGTAGACTATATACGCGTGGCCATGTGAGAGCATTTAGAGAGGGAGAACGGAATCTCCCCACTCTCGGTCGTACCAGGGCATTTGGGGGCTGAGTTACAATACGTAACTTTACATCAACTAAAACATCCGCATCTTTTTGCCGCGTTCGTAAATTAGTAATCTTCTAGATAGAAAATCGTTTTTCTGATGATGATTATAGTTCAATTATTTCATCACCTAAGTTTTATTTGATGTTTGAATGCCTTCATATCTTTCAGGAATGCATTTGTTTCTGGATCACCGGATAATATAAAACAATGGAAACTCCCCAATGGTGTCTTTCTTCAGAATCTATCTGGACATAATGCTATCATTAATGCCATCACTGTTAACCAAGATAATGTGGTCGTCAGTGGAGGTATTTACTAGTTTACATATGCATGTCTTTATCCCAGTAATTTATTAAAATTAAGGATTATAATGTACGTATTGACCATTTAAATAGTTCGTACGGTCTATTTCAAATGTTTGTCTGTCAAGAGATTGATCTCTGCCATTGGTTTTTCTGCTTATTTTAGGCGATAATGGCAGTGTTCACTTTTGGGATTGGAAATCTGGGTATAACTTTCAGCGTCTTCAAGCTCAAGTTCAGCCTGGCAGTATTGATTCTGAAGCTGGGATATTTGCTTTAGCATTTGATCGTAGTGGATCTCGCTTGGTGTCCTGTGAAGCAGACAAATCAATAAAGATCTTCAAAGAAGATGAATCAGCGGTAATTGGGCTTTTTGTTGTTATCTGAACTACATACCTCATAATAACCTAACCTACATACTACTGGACTGAATTTGAGAGACTAGAATGAAAGTAGTGTATACAGACGCGGAGACAGTAGTTAGTCATTAATATATATACACAAAAATTGCAGATAAAATTTACACTCCACTTCAAGTTGTCTGTAACTGTTTTCAATAAGCACTTCAGATGTGACTACTTCCGTAAAATCTTTCATCACGATATTTGAGTAATTTCTAATCAGGGTTCTTAATCACACAGAGGAAATATCTGACTTGCTGTCACTAAGCATCACAGTATAATCAGTTATCGAAATAAGGCATCTGTAATATACGTTTCAGTAGATTGACTACGAATGTCAACATAGCTCGAAGTGGTGAAAATTCTATTTTTGCAACTATCATGTAGCAATCTTCATAACTTTGAGAATAACTGAGTGGAATGAAAAAATATACATTTCTAAATTGTTGGTGCGATTGTATACGATGGGAAAACACATTTCATACACTGACAACCTTACAAAGGGGACGCTACATAACTAACTTGGTATTCATCCCTGTGGTTGATTAATTGGGGGGGTATGTTCTGTATTGCTTTTAACAGACTAGTTGGATAAAGACGATCGCTCGACTTTTGCCAAAGTGGCTTAGGTATGTCGAAGTGCGAGTATCCACTGTGCAAACAGGTCACTCCAACGCTGTCTTCTGAACACTTGCTTTATATAGTTGAATTACCAAGTGAGTTATGTTAAGGTTAAATGTTGTTTCAAAACAGGAAATCAGGTGATAAAGCTGAAATTTGGTCGACTAAGGTAGTCAGAACACGCTTTACACGTGCGCAGCTGCTGCCCAACGTTTACGAAACGAGATCTAAAAGCTTTTCTTAACTAAGCTTCATTCCTCACCATCAGCATTTACTTTGTGGATTAATCAATCACATGTTTTATTTTTTAGACGGAAGAAACACACCCACTGTACTGGCGCCCGGGCTTGCTCAAAAAATCGAAATACTAATTTACCTAATCCACTTAACATCTCTACAACAATATGTATAGTATGTTCCTATTAAAGAATTTATCTTACTAAATACAATCGATTTACATGTTTGATTATCTTAGCGGTCCGGTTTAGTGGATTTATTTAAGACCATAAACCGTTATGGACACCAACTAGTAGCTTTCAAATTCAGTCACGTATAAGCACCAAAAAAACCATTACTCTAAACGAGCTTCACCATAACCAATTCCACATTTACATGTATTGAATTATTCGACCCTACTTCTCAGCGACTGACATCTGTGCCTAATTTATTTTGGAAAAATGATGGAATTAGTAGAAGAAAGATATTTTTGGAATAAAATCTGTCAGTGTTTCTCTCATAAAGAAATATTCGTCCTATGTAAGTAATAAAATAATAAACAGGGATTACTGCGTCAGTTTTATCTTCTTACAAGGTAACTGATCTTCTACACAACTAGCTTCGTCTGTAGTTTGTTTATTTACAGTAGGTTTAACAACGATAGAAGATACATTTGGCATAGACAAAAGTTTAAGCAGTGCAGCTGCACCATGTACTGTTTTGCTTCGTATAAGACCATGAGTCACTACTGCAAAAGGCGCCTTGGTAAGACAAGAGTGAGTTGCCTCCTGAGGTTGCAGACCTAGACAACCAAGCATTGCAGATACAGCCACTGGTCGACGGACTTCCCACCCACTTGACGCCCCGGAACTGACGACTATCATATTTGTAAATGACTTCCGTGCTATGCAGAGTAAGCTGCTGAAATACTGTGATAAGACTGTACGAGCGCTATAGGTTCCAGAGGAAGATCGAAGTACTGGAGCAAGCTGGAATTCTAAGTGGATACCTCGTGACATCATCAAATTGCATTGTTTACTTAACAGTCGAATTTCACTTGATTTTGTAAGGTCTAAAGATATAAGGTCAATGTTCACAGCCTTTTCACATGCATATGCAAAAGCGCTATTGGAAGTAGGACAGAAACTCACAACATCGAAGGCACCAAGTTTATCCTCAAATTGACGGAAGAATAAACCGGCATTTTCAGCATTATTGCAATATATAGTCAAACGTGTGAATATTCGTGGTTTACATGATATAGCAGAAGGCGACACGGAAGCTCTGAACATACTACTTTCATTAATATAAGCTTGAAGAACATCTGAAGAAGGGGGTTCTAACTTAGCAGTGAGGTTCTGACGCATAGCTTGTCTTTCTTCTTTGTTTTTCTTCCTAGTAGTGGAGTCTGATTTAACTTCGAAATTGAAGTCATCTACTGATACAGACTGACTGACCGCCACATAGTAATATCCACAATCAACCAAGCGTGCAAGGAGGTGCGCGTTCATTGCTTCAAAAGGAATATCAAGATCGAAGTAATTCCCTTCCATTTCATAACATATCAGAGTAAATTTATTGAGATTTAAGCCCAATTATTTGAAAGTTCTGCTTCTCAACACAAAACCTAGATTAGAAATAAGAAACATGTTAGCCTGAAGTGTAATGTGTCAGAAATAAAAGACGAATCATGTGTAGTATATGTATGAAGGTGGAGATATTGACAGAAAATAGCGAAATAAAAGGAACACAGTAAGTGTTACATCTTAGTGAAGATTAAATTACGGGTAACTTCTGAGAACTATTAGTAGATTAACATTATATATATTCTTCTTGTATAACTACTCAGCAAACAGATTATGTATATCTATACTCCCCTTATTACAAGCTTTATTTTGACCTATATATTATTGTTATACGATTTACTGTTCTTAAATTATACTCAGTTTATTAGTCACAGTCTCCCACGTTCACAGCCACTTTCTAGCTTGGTCTTGTGTAAATGTTATCTCCTATTCTATGGTGTGATACGGTCTGTTTGGCTAGTATATAAACCAAGTATGTTTGAAATAAATGATTCGCATAATGGCGTTCCGGACTCAACTGGTAGGGCTAAGAAGAAAATGGACCAATAAGGACGCTAGGCTGCTCATACCGGTCGAACACCATTGATTGTATAAGTCGCATCTCGATTAGCGAAAAAATCACGTGATATTGAGCCGGGCTTAACAATACAACAGTGAGCAAAACCATAATCGCGATTTTGTAAAATAATATTCATATTCTGTGCGTAATTTTGAATCTAGAAATAAAGCTGTAGTTAATCCTAACTATTTCACAACCAGACCCGACCGTTAGAGAAACAATCTCAGAGAAAGATGGACATATTATTCATTCTCAATCCAGGAGATTGGATCGATGGGCAGAACACTTTAGGGATCAGTTCAACTGGCCTTCAGTCACACTTCGGTTTCCCACGATCTCTAGTCAACCTGAATGGCAAGTTAATGTAGGTCCTCCGTCCCTTTACGAAGTTGAAAAAGCCATAGGAAATCTGAAACGAGGGAGAGCAGCAGGCCCTGACAGGTTTACTCCTGAGATTTTTAAGGATGGTGGTCCAGTATTAGCAATGAGATTAACCGAGGTCTTAGGTAGAATTTGGGAACTGGACGTAATCCCATCTGACTGGTCTCAATCACTGATTGTGCCAGTCTATAAGAAAGGACAAAAGTCCTCTTGTGACAATCACAGAGGAATCAGTTTGACAAATATAGTATCTAAAATATTAGCCTCAATAATACTTCGACGCCTAATCAAAGCTCGTGAAGAGCAGATTAGAGAAAACCAGGCCGGTTTTCGACCTGGACGAGGTTGTATAGATCAGATATTCACACTACGTCAGGTTCTAGAACACAGACACACATTCAGACGCCCCACAATTGTAGTATTTCTCGACCTTAAGGCAGCATTCGACTCTGTCGATCGTGAGGTTCTATGGCAGTGTTTGTCACTGAAAGGAGTACCAAAGAAGTACATTAGCCTTATAAAGGCTCTCTACTCGAACACAACTGGTAGAGTAAGAGCTTATGGCGAACTGTCATCAGAATTGATTACCTCAAGTGGTGTTCGTCAGGGCTGTCCACTCTCCCCATTCTTGTTCAACTTTGTGGTCGACGTACTTTTAGAGATAACACTCTCCTCATCTAAATTTACAGGGGTCGAACTTCTACCAGGAGGTTCACTTGTTGACTTAGAATATGCAGATGACATAGTTTTATTTGGTGAAAACGCTGACAAAATGCAGTCTCCTGACCACTCTAAGCAACAATGCAAGCATGTTCGGGATGCGATTCTCTCCCTCGAAATGCAAAATGTTGCTTCAGGATTGGGTTACATCGACACCCGAACTAGTGATAGGGAGTGAAGTAGTTGAGTGTGTCGACCGCTTCACTTATCTTGGAAGTCTCATCAGCCCTTGTGGTCTGGTGTGTGACGAAATCTCAGCACGGATACAGAAGGCTCGACTAGCTTTTACCAACTTGCGCCATTTATGGCGTAGGCGAGATATCCGTCTTTCAACCAAAGGACGTGTTTATTGCGCAGCAGTTCGTTCCGTCCTACTTTATGGCAGTGAAACATGGCCGGTAAGAGTAGAGGATACTCGTAGGTTACTAGTATTCGATCATAGGTGTCTTCGAAACATTGCTCGTATATCCTGGGACCATCGAGTAAGTAACACAGTCGTTAGGAAACGGGTACTAGGTAAGGGTGGCAAATCAATCGATGAAGTAGTGAAACTTCATCAGTTGAGATGGCTGGGACACGTGTTACGTATGCCCAACGACCGACTGCCTCGACGTGCTATGTTCAGTGGTATAGGAGTAGGTTGGAAGAAAGCTAGGGGCGGCCAAACCAAAACATGGCACAAATCCATGAAGTCACTGACAAGTGAACTGAGTCATGTTGGTAGGTGTAGACTACCTGGTTGGGGACCGCGAGATGATAGCAACCGATGGTTAGTGACCCTGAATGACATGGCTCAAAATCGTTTGCAATGACGCAGGTGCATCCACTCTCTGTGTTCTCCCAAATTCTACTCTTCTGAATTCTTCCCGATTACTGCTTATACTCTTATTACCTCTACCACTACGGGATTTGAATCGACAACTGCATCTCTGTGCTAATGTGGTGTGGCAACTCGAACTGACGTACGTACGTACGAAGTTCTACGTTGTTACTGACTGACTGTATCTCAATTCAGCTCTTTGACTAAATATCTGCAACATTTATAGCGTCGACATCTTGGATACTGTAAAAGGATTGTAAGAAATCAGAAACAAAGTCTGTAAAAGGTTTTCTTGCTTTCATCAGTTGGTAAATTATTCTCCCTGAAAATTTCACTGGCTTGCAATGCAATTAACAGTTATGTATGAGCTAGAAACCGTCCTATTACACAACCGACTGACTCCTATAACGTTAAGCAGTTTTAGTATCACGTTAAACATCTAACCTCAATCTAAATTAATAAAGTGAGGGCTTGGCGGGGACTTGTGGAGGACAGGTCTAGTAGGTTGAAGTAAGGGGGTACAAAGATGCATTACGTTAGGAAAATAAATTTCACCAGATAAGGATGTGAATCCCCATGGACTTTGTAAAATATAGTAAACTTTAGTGATGAGCTTTATCTCGTAAGTTGATAGACCAGAAACCTTCATCACTTCGTGAGATATATGAGTATTGAAAAAATGGTTGTTGTGCATAAACTTTCCTTGAATTAATTCACAACTATTAAACATGACCGCAGAAACAGGGTCAGTCCTGAAGGCATTTCGTAGTGAAATAACGCAAAGTATTATTTAGCAACGATAGAAGAAAGGTTAATTATGTTAGAAATAGTCATAGTGCGACATTTTGGAATAAGATTTATGTCCGTAGCTCACTAAGAAGTATATACTAGTTCAGAGTCAGAGAAGACAACAACGTTGCGAGTCCCGAGTCGTCAAGTAATTGGAGCTGTCTAGTTGACCAGAGAAATTCTAAGTGATCACAACAGAATCGATGTTGTCCTTAGTTATTGGGATCCGCCACGTCTATTACTCACTAAATAACTAGTTAAACAATTGAAGATTTGGTGATAAACACGAGCTCCCGATTTCGGGAAAAATTTGACTCATTTCAGGGAAGCCGCTATAGTAAACTTTGGGGGAATGGCACTAAGACCCCGAAATCTCCAGAGACTTGGTGACATTTTCCAATATTTCCTCAAAATTCCCCTTTACCCTTGGTCAAGGTCATTTGACTTCGGGAGTTTCCTCAAACTTGCGAGCTCCAGGAAATCCTACATCAATAGCCGAAGAAATATGAAACTATTCCGGAAAATGAGATTTGACCTAGAAGTTACCCCAAGACAAATGAGAGACGAGCACAGACATTGTGCAAATACTGCAAGACGAGAAGGAATTGGCGCTATGAGTTAGTCAACAAGTTTGTGCGATAAGCGTTTGCTAAGTCAACTGCGAGTTATATAAAAAGGACGCAAAACTGCATAAGAAAGAATTAAAAAATTGTATAACTTGATACAGCTGCAGTGTAACAGAGATTACGGGTTCAAGCACTACACAAAACAACTAGAGACCATGTCGATTAGTAGCGCACCTATCGTAAGTCGCGCCACGATTTCCCTAACCTAAGGTCTTGAAACTAATTCATATTTACGGCGGTATTAGTGTATATTCACTGCAGACATTAACTACAAAATAATTCATCATACTGACATAATGCGTCTCTGCTTATTAGATCAGTGCGAAGGAGAATTATTTACCTTAAAAACTCACACTCACTTATAGTGATAATGAATTTCCAAAGAATCAATCAACCAGAAATTCCAAACTAGCAGACTTGCTGTTATTGAGCACTTCGTTATAAGTTGCTACGTTCGGCAATATTTAATTATCTTTTCTTACTGTGAAAAGTATTGCTTTGAGCAGGCCATAATGTAAGAAGACTACACAAATTTTGTATATATTTGTATTTTATAAAACGAAGGAATATACCGTCACATTTACAGAACTACATTTTTCGTTTGGTGCATAATGAAGGTTAAAGTTACGACTAGAATGCCAAAAAATGAGAGCAATGTGAAGAAGGAAAGAGAAAGAGAACGAAACTTTCCTAATGCGGGAATCTTTTGTGTGTTTTGTGGGACTTTTATTTTTGAAGGACAACGCTTATTTTACCAGCTGTTGTAAAGTAGAACTGTTTTCTTGCGCTCAATACTGTTGTTTGTTACAATGTAAAGTGGACGCAATTGTTGAGTGGTGCAAATAAGAACACCACGTAAAAACGTTTATCTTCTAAGTATCCCTGTTCTATACTATCAATCCCTCGGTTCCTCGGTGGTTAATTTTACTCTTTTTTAAATTTTTATTCGCCACGCCCGACTGTGTTACACTGTACGTCCATTGCACGCTGGGATGATTTCTCAAGTCATAGTGAGTTTATTCACATAGTTGATTGTTTCCAGATAGACTGTCAGTGCGTTATTTTACTTAAGAAAAGTTTGTTGTACTGAAAACTATGTTTTTATGAACAACTGCCTGTTGTCTTCAGTATGAAAGCAGTATATATGTATCCTTCGTTTTCTCTTAGGTAAGTTCGACTGGCCTATATTTCGTGTTTTGGTTCTATCGGCTGAGTTGTGTTCATTTGACTCCGTTTAACAACATGTATGTCCAAATGGAACAATAATTATGACACTTGTTTAGTTAAGTATTCCTGATTGCTGTATAATTTAGTTTTGTCTATAGAATTATAGTATACTAAAGTATAGTGCTTGAAGCCTGTAACGAAACAGATCAGTTTAGTAAGTAGAGCTGCCTGTTTTTAATGAGTATACTGATTCAAGTCAGTCTGATTAAAAACAGGAAAAAAAGCCTTTGGTACTGTTGCCGTCATAAGTACGTTTGGTGTTTATTTGTAGACAGTACGTCTAACGCTGTTCATGTTTCAAGACCACTGTCATTAAACGATTTCCCCAGCAATAACATCGGTAGCAGGAAAGCTAAGTGTCTGAGCTTTTATTTGCCTGCAAAACAGCAGTATACAGTCTTAGGTGAGGAGTGTTCTGTCTTAATTAAATGCTGCTGGCTGTGGACAAATAATAAGAGTCTTTTTGACAACTGGAAATTTTAGTTTACCAGATACTAAATCAACTTGTATACCTTCCTGTAAAACCAGACGCAGATGCATGAGAATACTTAAGTGGGAGCAAAATAATAAAAGCTGTGCGATGCTGTACTTTGCACATGTTTCAGTAGCTGGCGTGATCTGATATTTATGAAGTCGAGGTAAATCACAGCTGCATAAATTCTTTCCTTAGAAACATGTAATTTGTTTATTTACCTTTTCAACATTCTTGACTAAATCCATTACTATCTTTTATTTAGAATGTAACAGGAATGAATTATTTTTTCTGGTGAGCGTTTGAGTGGAACTCGTCATTATACATCAACTTCATTGATTATGAAAAGGCATTTGATAGTGTAGATAGTAGAACTTTATGGAAACTTCTTCGACACTACGGAGTTCCTGAGAAGATTGTCAATATTATCCGGAACTCATACGATGGACTACAGTGCAAAGTAGTGCATGGAGGACAGCTGACAGATGCATTCCAAGTAAGGACGGAGTCAGACAAGGCATCCTACTCTCTCCCTTCCTCTTTCTCCTGGTGGCCAACTGGATTCTGAAGACCTTGACATCTGAGGGGAAAACGGCATACAATGGACAGCTCAGAATCAATTAGACGATTTGGACATCGCAGATGACCTAGCCCTCCTATCCCATACACATCAACAAATACATATAAAGACAGCCAGTGTAGCAGCAGCCTCTGCATCAGTAGGGCCCAGTATACACAAGGGGAAAACCAAAGTCCTCAAATTCAAAGCGGAGAACAGCAATCCAATCACTCTTGATGGCGAAACTCTGGAAGATGTAGAGTCCTTCACATACCTGGGAAGCATCATCGATGAACAAGGAGGTTCAGATGGAGACGTAAAGGTGAGGATCGGCAAAGCAAGGGCCACATTCCTACAATTGAAGAACATATGAAACTCAAAACAGCTGTCAACCAATATCAAAGTCACAATCTTCAATACCAACGTCAAGGCAGTTCTACTGTACGGAGCTGAAACTTGGAGAACTACAACAACCACCATCAAGAAGGTACAATTATTTATAAATAGCTGTCTACGCAAGATACTCAACATCCATCGGCCGGACACCATCAGCTACAGGCTTCTGTGGAAGATAATGAACCAGCTTCCAGCTGAAGAAGAAATTAGGAAAAGACGATGGAAATGGATAGGGCATACATTACTCAAATCATCAAACTGAATCACGAGGCAAGCCGTAACTTGGAATTCTGAAGGGAAGTGGAAAAGAGGAGGGCCAAAGAACACATTACGTCGGGAAATAAAAGCAGATATGGAAAGGACAAATAACAACTGGAGGGAGCTCGAAAGGATCGCCCAGGACAGTGTTGGATGGATAATGCTTGCGAGCGGCCTATGTTCCTTCACGAGGAGTAACAGGCGTAAGTAAGTAGGTAAGTAACAGGAATGAGCCGTCACAGATCTTACAAAGTCACTCAGCTTTATAACCATGGCCCTATGAAACTTTATGGGAGACCCAAGTAACAGCATATCGGACGTCTACTTTAGTCTTACAATCACTTCCAGTGTTTTGTAGTTACTTCTTATATCCTGTCGTTTGAACAGAAACAACTACTGCAGCTTCACTTTACCAATGCTACAATGTAATTTGGGACCTGGTATAAATATTTGTTTCGTACTCCATTGTTAATTAAAGTTCGTGAATAAATTTATAGACTTAATGCTATTTCGTTTCATCTAGTTAATCGTTGTAAAAAACTGGTGAAATACGAGCCTGTCAACACCTAGTTGATATGTAGTAATTTCACGCTAAGACAGTTGACTCAGTTACACATCCCAACAGTCCCTGCTTGTAATCTTAGTTTGTGATCGAAATACCATATGATAAGCAAACAACGGGAAACCCCTAAGTCCGTGCCTTATTATAACCTATTTCAGCCGCCATGATGTGTTGCAGTAGTACGTTAGTCTTCTGAACCTAGGATCATTGTTCAAGCACTTTTCATCACAAGGATGGTTATGTATCATCCTCGACGACGATATGACGAACTGGTTCACAGCATACCGCAAACGAAACATGGCCTTGCAACCACGAAACTTCGATCTATGAAAATTGAAAACAATAATAATAATCATTTACCCTTTTACTCTCTGAACATAGATCTCTGGCTCCTTTTATGTCCAAAAGAACATACATACACCACGTACTCATAGTGAATTTCCGGCTTTTCTATGTTCAGCCTGCTTTCACGTACAACATAATGAGTTCAAGTCATCTATTACTTTTTAGATGGTGTATTATCAGTAACAAACCTTTTGCAACAGATCGATAGCTTCTCTGAAATGGTCACAGCTTGTCAGGTGCCTGGGTCTCATAATCATTTCGAAGACATCACTGGTATCCACAGCCACTGGACACTCAGCATTAGTTTGACTGGTTGATGGAGTAGCGTGATCCATAATACTGCAGAAAATAACAAATCTTTCATTCTGCTTGATAACAATAAATAACACTTAGGAATGAATATGTGGCCAGTTACGGTCACATGCGGCAGCAACAATTATTTTAGCTAAGGAAAAATAACTTCCGTTCTCCATATCTAAAAAACAATGCTCAAAATATAACGGATTGAGATTTTATGACAAGAAAAACGAGCTTGCCTGCCAGTTAGGAACGATTATGCCGACATTTCGATATCCCGATATCTGAAAAAAAGAACTCAGAACAAAACGCATTAAAATTTTATAACACAAGACTAGACAGATTGCCTGAAGAAATACATTGACTTGAGTAGAAGCAGCAAGAACCCAGAAAAAATCTCTGATTCGAAATAAATTTCACACCAACATATAGAACATTACACTAAATGCGGCATTTTAGCACACCAAAACATTAAATTTCATAGCTACACAAAAGAAATAGCTGAAAGAAGCACAGAACGAAGAAAGCCGACCGCCATTACTTACAAAGATGGCGGACATAATAATTCCAGCCTTATTCTGATTGGTTGCTAAGCTGAAGGGCACATTTACGAAATTGAGTTGCGTTTAATTGCTGCTGAGTATCATACCTCCATGTCAGTTTGTTACGCATATCTGCTGACTGACGTCCAGTTAAGTCATGCATAACTAAACTCATGGAATTTGTGACTTAGCTCACTCGGGAGATTAAGCGTATACAGTTGAGCTGAGAGCTGCTATTTCTCCCGAGATTTGAATGATTGCACTGTAGACAAATTCACTTGCTATTTGTTCACCACATATCTCTGATGGACAAGACATTTTGCATAGGATCAATAGTGGCTCATCAACTTACTCTTGCGCATTTATTTTATTTCTTCGTCTAAGAAAAACGATCATAAGGTAAACTATTTTGATATTCCTAAGTGCACTAAGGATTCGAAATAGCTTGCCCTCTATGTCAGGGCGAACCAGCCTAGATAATTGTCAGACAGTGAAGCAATTCTAATAAAACC